AAATAAATAAATAAATAAATGAAGAAATGAATATAATCAAAATCCTGGGGACATTAAAACGAAAAAGTAAATAGGTCCCGGGCTCAAGGCTAACCATGAGACCTACGGTAATAGCTACTTTCCTATAGGGAAATTTGCTTCAATAAAAAAATAAACAAAACATGGAGCAAACTTTTAAAAGTAAAAAAATGACGAAATATTGATGCCCGATATATTGTATGTATACCGATACACAGGGTGTCCCGTAACTCTCTGGACACATGTATACAGGGTTATTGCTTAGGTCAAGGCAAACACATTTCACCATAGGAACATGGGTCTGTGGTGTCTAGTTTACCGACTGTCGGCATTTATGTGTTTTTTTACAAAAAACATTAATAACTCCTAAACGGTTTGAGATACAGCGTTGAGACTTTGCAGAAATGTTAATCTTATTAAAGCTTATCTTTGGTTAAAATTGTACTAAAAAATCATTAACCGTTTCAAAATGGCAGCCGGTTTAAATATTTGATGCCAAATTTCACGAAACCACTAACTTAAGGAAAAAATCGCAAGAGACAAAAAAGTTAGTAAATTTTACGTAGATTTCAATGATACCTTATATGTTAAGAATGGATAAATAATAACAGAGAAATGTCTTCTTTTCCAAATGCATGACCACTTTTCTCCCTTTAAACAATGCTAATACTCCTTTTACGTTGTTTAGCGTTGTTCCATTCTTAACAAATAAGGTATCATTGACATCTACATAAAATTTACTAACTTTTTTGTCTCCTGCAATTTTTCTTTAAGTTAACGGTTTTCGTGAAATTTGGCATCAAATATTTTAAATGGCTGCCATTTTGATAAGGTTAATGCTTTTTTGGTATAATTTTAACCAAAGATAAGCCTTAAAAAGATTAACATTTCTGCAAAGTCTCAACGCTGTATCTTAAACAGTTCAAGAGTTATTAATGTTTTCCGACAGTCGGTAAACTAGACACCACAGACCCATGTTCCTATGGTGAAATGTGTTTGTCTTGACTTAAGCAATAACCCTATATACATGTGTCCAGAGAGTTACGGGACACCCTGTATATACGGAGGTTGCCGGTATACTCGGGCTTAGGGTTCAATATGTTCACATTAAACATGATAAGGTACAAGTCTGTACTAATTTTAAGACAAAGTCCTGATCAACATTTGCTGAACAGTTTCAGTCGGTCATTCACTGGATCACAAATTTGAGCATAACCAGTGAATGATTGTTTCCTAGATATTAATCATATTTGTTTTGGAAACGTTGTTTTCTCATGGATTAAGTGCTTGTTAGGAAACACTATTTAACCTAATCAGAAATCTTGTGGAGACACTAAAGCCTAAATTTGGCTGCGGAAAGATTGTGGTAATTTACTAGATGATAAGTCGTCACTCAATCGTCGTTCGAATACATGTCAATAATACTGTAAACGTTGCTTTATGTACATGGTGTCCCAGCTTCAACTTGAGAATCTTGAGCTTATTTGTTGAAAAACAGGTTGGTTGATACAATTTTAATGTTATATAATTGGGGTTATTCACTGGTGATATTTGTGTGATAAACAGTATTTTCCATCACTCTGTTTGAACATAATACAATTACGTTAAGTTTTATCTAAGAAGTACAAGACGTTTAAACTATTCTTTACACTGTAGTTCAATACTGTTAGATAGTTAAATGTATAAGTAGCTATTATGTTTGGACTCAGGAAATTTCATCAATATGTATATGGTCGGAAGTTTACTTTAGTAACCGACCACAAACCTCTACAACGGATATTTGGAAATATGCGAGATCTACCAAAAGTTGTAAATAGCCGTTTAGTGAGGTGGGCTCTCCAGTTGAATCAATACAACTATGACATAGAGTACAGAAAAGGAGAAGATAATGTGTGTGCTGATGTTCTATCAAGACTTCCGATTGAAGAAGATCAACCTGAGGAGGCTCACATTGGGTTTTTGAATGTTGATAAGGTTAACTCTATCATGTCTTATGACCTCTTGAAACAAAATTCATTTACAGATAAAGCAATTAAAATGACAAAAAACTTTGTATTGAGAAATACATGGCACCCCGTTGTTCCTGAAATGTTGAAGTCATACAAACAGAGGAAAGATGAATTGAGTGTTGAAGATGACATATTATTGTGGTTTGGAAGAATTGTAGTTCCAGAATGCATGAGAACTGATGTTCTGAAGATATTGCACACCGGACATCCTGGTATTGTATCAATGAGGTCTGTAGCACGACACTATGTATGGTGGCCCAACATGGATAAAGATATCGAAGTTTATATCAAGAGGTGCACATCTTGTCAAGAGAATTGAGATAATGTGGAAGAAGTGCCATTATATCCTTGGAATGTACCTGATAGAGTTTGGGAAAGGGTACACATTGATCTGGCAGGGCCAGTCAACGGATCTATGTGGTTGGTAGGTATTGATGCTTTGTCAAAGTGGGCAGAAGTGGACTGTCTCAAGACAACAAACTCTTCAACAATCATTCAACGATTGAGATCTTGGTTTAGTCGATATGGAATACCAAGTGAAATTGTGACAGACAATGGACCTCAATTTGTATCAAAGGAAATGGAAACATTTTTTGAGAAAAATTCTATCAACCACATAAAAACAACTCCTTACCATCCTAAAAGTAATGGACTTGTGGAAAGACTAATTCTTACTTTGAAAAGACGGTTCTACACAACAAAGCAGGATGTTGGAGATGGAATGCTAGCTCTTCAAAATGTTCTTTTTAGCTACAGAAACTCGCCTCAGAAAACAACTGGTAGGGCTCCGGCAGAATTGTTTCTCGGTCGTAGACTACCAACAATTTTTGACAATATGAAACCTAATCTTAGGAAAAAGATGGAGATGAAGCTTTGGAAAGAACAAGGGAGGGACAACAAAAAAGTTCGAACTTTTGAAGAAGGAGAAGATGTGTGGATTAAGAATGAACATGGGAATGGTTGGTCAGCTGGAGTGGTGAAAAATAAAAATGGACTGTACTCATATGATGTACTTTGTGGAGGTGTTATAAAAAGGAAACATGCGGACCAGATGAGACATAGAATGGGAGCTGTTGAATCCGTGTAAAAAGAAAGAGGGGGAAAGTGTTAGATAGTTAAATGTATAAGTAATTAATACATCAGCTGATTTATTATTATTAAGTTTGTTAGTAAATATTCTGCTTAGTTTGATGTGTTTAAGAATTCAATAAAATGGTTCTTTTATATTTTGAATATCATTTAGTGTAATTCTACAAATATCATATCCTCTAATTACTGATAGAAGTGGAAACTCAAGCTTAAACTTTCAATCACTGGTGTCCCCACCCAAATTTCTTGAAGACTTCTTCATATACGTTTGGAAAAATATATTTACCTACGACCGTTTTTTAAAGTAGCCATTTCAGTCCAGTTCTTAGAATTGAAAAGTTTCACTTTACAGCTGTTTACTTTCATATCCGCATAGTTTCATTTCATATCCGCATAGTTTTCTCATATCCACACAGGTAACGGACCAATGAGGTTCAAGTATTGAGAGAAAAGAATTAAAATTGTAATGCTTCGAACGTCAACTAATCAGCTGATCAGCTGATCAGTTGACCAATTTAATTGTTGATCCGACTTGTTCATGTTGATACTCGCGTATTCTTAATTAAGTTGGTGGAAGTCCAAAAATAAATGAAATATTTGCCGAATTGTACCTGATACAATATTATTTATGGTAAGAATGCTGCTAGCAATGTAATATTTAACGAAGTTTAACAAACACGCAATTACAGGAAATCAGCTGATTATACAAGTCGTTGCATCACTTTCAGTGGCAATGACAATACACGAAAACATAACCTCTCTAAAAAGTTATCAGTAGTGATTGTTAGTAATTAAATCCAGATTGATAGTAATTAAAAAACGGTCGTAGGTAAAGTAGTGTACGCAACTCGCGTTAATAGTCTTTACGCCACTCGTAGAAGTTTTTAAGGCACTCACCAAGGCTCGTGCCTTAAATTTTCTACTCGTGTCGTAATGACTCACTTAACGCAATCGTTGCGTAAACTACTATTATCAATATTTTAATTACAAGCCAAATCGTTAATCTTATTAGTTCATCATTTATCAAATAATAATAACTAGTGCACCTGTAGCTCGAATTCGAGCAATTGTAAAGTATTACCGGCGTTATTTCAAAACGAATAACAGTCATCATAACTTCCGATGACTTAAAAGAGTCAACTCAAAGATCAATATAATCAATCACTCCACTCCAGTTATCGAAACTGGAAACGAACCCTCTATGTGTATCATTTTGTGTTTACTATGAACAGCTGTAATTAATACAAATTATTCGTCCGGTTAAGTAAACAAAATCTTTTATCCATAGGAAACACTTTGGGATTTTGATGGCCTGTGGGGCAAATTAATGAAAGGGGGCATCTACACAAACAATACTTCATTTTGACACATCGTTTGTAAAAATTCGTCCATTATTAATGGGGGAGTAGTGTTTCGTAGAAATATCCTTCACGTATTTATATATATATAAGGATCCTTATAGCACACGTCTCAAATTTTAGTACTGTATATCCAGCTATTTCAAATATTAGTGTCAATTTCAAAGTATTCATCTGTTCAAACTCCAAAACAATTATGACAAAAATATGCCTAGCGTATTAAAAATATAGATAAAATACAGCAAATACATTAAGCGTGAACCCAAATACATCAATCAAATTATAAATCAATTAACTAGGGAGCCACGTTTAAAGCGCCTTAGCGTATCACGTATCACTTTAACAAGGCCTTAATAGCGCTGCTTTCCAAACAACCTCTCAGATATCCAAACAAACCTGCTGTTGTTTCATTGTTGTCCACGTTGTTTGCAAAACAAACAATTACTGTTGTAAACCCTTTAATAAAGCGATAAACATCCACTATATCTCTGTATATGTTAGGTTTCACAAATGTTTTTCTACTTACGTTGAAAATGAGTAAAAATATCCATATCGGCTCCATATCCGGGCAGTTGCTCCGATATTCGGCAGCAAACTGAGGAAATGTTTGGCTGACGATCACGGACCGCCCTTGGCAAAATCTGTGAAAAAGACGAGAATGCTGCAATCTCGTCGCATCTTATAAACAATCGAACACAATGGTAATCCCGGGCAGGTTGTCCAGTTATCTCGCTCAAGGACAATTGATAGCGACAAATAGTAGGTAAATATGCAAGTTTGTTTTCCGCAATCATAATGTTCTTATCGTCGCTTTGTTCTTGCACGCGTTTGATTAGAATTTTTATGTAAAAATTGTGAAAATTTGATACGGTGATTGTTAGCGTAAAAAAGTCGAGTCTTATCTGAAGTGAGTCATGACCACCTCAACGTTTTGATTAGTGTGAGTTCTTATCTGAGTTTTCACTCTCGTCAAAAGAAAAAAGATTATTTTAATCTGAAGTGGGACGTGTTGGTAGACCGGTTATCTGAGGAACTTTGATTGTACGGATGTCACATCGGAAGTAGGTTCTTTGGTATACTGACCAGATATAATAATTCTAACCTAAGGCCCCGTTTATGCACCAAGAGCGGGAGCGATTTCTAACACCATTGAGTTAAATGGGACTGTTTATGCACGAAGAGCGATAGCGGGAGCGGTTGACCTCCCATTGCGGTTTCTAACTCGCCCGCTGTGTAGTTAGAAATCGCAGCGGTTGCTTGGGATAGAGCGGTTTTCAACTACATTGAGTCAAATGAGACGGTTTATGCACGGCGGGTGCGGGAGCCGCTGCAGCCAGGGTTGCCAACTTGACCCACGCGCACGTGCACTTAGGACAAATATTTGTGTTAATTATTTGGCAGAGTTTGAGTTGGCAAGACTGTGTCCCTCTTCCATTCTCCGATGACCAACCGCTACCGCTATCGCTTGCACAATTTTGACTAAATTTTCACAGCGGGAGCGGGCCCGCTATCACCCCGCTCCCGCTCTCGGTGCATTAACGGGGCCTAACCTAACCTAACTTAACCTAAGGGTGGTTAGGTTAAGAAGATTATGTTATTTAAACTAATTAAAATCTAATTTGGAAGTCGATTTATCGGTGTGGTTGGTGTAATACCAAAGTGTGGAAGTAGAATATAATTTAAAATTAGGTTACCAAATCATCGTAAAAAGACTTATATAACTCGAAAATATTCGAAGTAGAATAGAGCTAAACGAGGGGACCCGTGCACATATTGGGCATTTTTACAGGGTTTAAAAACTTCAAGGAAAATCAAGCTCAATGCAATGTCCTTTTATATTTTCAATATTATGTTTATTATGCAGTTTTTAGTGAACAAAGCAAAACAATAACCTAGATACAGTTTCATAAAATCTGTGGTTTATTGTTTAAAATCTGACTGAGTTAAACATTCAAGAAGGATCAGCTGTTAAAGTACGAGTCACATTCGAACCGAAAAAAACAGCATCACTAAATATTTGAAAGAGAACTGTATTAAAACCCAAGGGGGCGAAGCCCTAAAAGAAATTACCGATTACTATTCGTCACTCCGAAGGATCATAAGCTTTAAAATGACACCTAAATTTCAAAAATTGGTTAAGTAGGACTGCTAAAAAAGCGATATAACAGAGACCCTTTGTAATTAAGAATATCATATTTTCCATCAATAAAGAAAATAGCATACAATAAACTATAGACACTAAAGAATAGACAAAATATTTCATTAATAACTTCTTCAAGAAACACTAAAGTGTATAAAATAAAAATGGTTCTTTCTTTACACATCTGTTCTATATTTATTTAGTCTTATTTTTATATTTTTCTTCTGTATTTTAGATCATAAAATTCCTTGATGAATGGATGAATGACATCACGAGCTAGATTTAGAGTAAGGCTTGTCATCAGTTCATAATTTTGCTGAAACTATAAGTGTTCTCTAGTAAACTGTTCTAGAGTCCTAAGCAGTATAGTGTCGTGAAGTTTCAGTGGGCTGGAGACCTACTTAGGCCTATGTCTTCTTAAGCCTTGGTAAAAGCCTGAATCGAAGCGATTCCTATGTCGATTCCATCAAATTCAGGAAGCTACTGTAAATAGCTTCATGCATGTAGGTTGGACCTATCACATCTTCAAATTCAACCCAGAGTAAAATAGAGCGGATTGTAAACGCAAGAAATATTAATTACTCGAATTTATAATCTGAAACAGAATAAATACGATTTTAATCGTCAACCGCATGAAATACTTAGAATATTCGATTTTATAAACTGAAGTAGAGCTTAAGATTACATTGCCAATCAACTTTCATAACTTTGATTATTCGATTATTCATACAGAAATTAGTTGTGTTCGGTTTACCATATGACCACACAAAAATTAAATTATTCGAAGATAATTTGAATTGACAAGAAGTACATCACATCAAGTAACATCAGCTTCAGAAAAATGTATTGGTGATCGGAATAAGAAATTCCAATATCTTTCAATGTCAACAACATTGGTCTTATTGCTAAAGCAGCACCATCATAAGCCAAAGCTTGGTGTAAGAATTGTTAGGCATTGATTTAAAGTTTATTTTAAAGTTATTTAGTGAACGTAAATCCTGCGAAAAAAATTGAATTTCATATCACGGGGCAGAGAAAAATTATGTTTTGACGTGTTTATGTTCTTTACGCAGCGAGTGGAAGTCGATCTAGAAAGTTACTTAGTAATTTGACAATAAGAAACCTTGGCAACTATGTTTAACTTTTAATTGATTTAACTTGTTCGAATGTTAAGTTGGCGTCGGATTACAGTTTTTTGACTATTGTTATTTGTAGTTTTGTCAAATTTATGTAAACATATTTATTTGTAATGTTTCGAATAATTTCAAAGTAGTCACTACCTAACAAATGGGAACATGAATGAAAAGAACGTTAAATTTCCCACAAAATCATTGCAACACCTTTAACATACTACCCTATTTACCCCGCTTTAAAACTCACATAACATAAACAAAGAACAAATAACCTCTTTACAACTTCAAAGTAGCGTTTCACCTCTTAACACTAATGTAGTGTTTTGTCAAATTACTTTAAAAACTTTCGCATTTTATAACCTTTAAAATGATGTCACCAATAAAGTTATTACTGCATTCAAATTTAGAAATATTATGTCAATACTGCGTTAAGGCCGGAACTTTGGGAATCTAAACAGGGATCCTAATTTAATAGCTATTATTTTCTTTTTACCTGATGTCAATCAACTTACGTGATCAGCTGGGTTTTTAAATTTTGTTTACAAAACCAGCTGGTTTTGATTGTTGCATTGTAAACATTCAAATTATTCACTATGGAAATACTTGGAAAATATTATAATTAAGTGCTATGTCAGTGTTCACCAACGAAGAAAATCTTGATATTATTTTAGTTTATGTATTCTGTTCTCAAAAGGCGGCTGAAAGCCGGCGTGAATAGAGCCGCCGGTTTCCTAATAGGCGAATTCCAATTAAACGAACATTCATCAGTGTTCATATGAGTTTGCGTGAAAATGGTAAATTTCTCACTAAACATCGTTCAGTCTGAAACGTGATACAAGATGTGGGTGTTGAGGAAGCTGTGTTGGGGCGGTTTGGGGACGATCCACGGACAAGCACAAGGACAGTTTCTCGTGAGGATTTTCTCAAACTTACGTCTCCAAGATACTAAGAAAGGAAAAATTGCATCCCCACCATTTCACACGAGGATAGACTCTTGAACTAAGAGACAGTCTATAGACACTTGAGTTTGGTCATTCTGTTAGTTGACTTGATCAATAACTATCTTCTTGATTAGCATCGTACATGTTATTAAATTACCTGAAAAAGCAAAAATATATACGTCTAATAACTCTTGTAAAAATATATTTACACTTATACTGTTGACTTACAAGACGGTAAATACATATAAAAGTTGGTAAGCGGTGATCGATTTTGACTAGACACTCCAATTATCATCAGACCCAATAGGCGAGGTGCCAATCGAAATCGATCACCACTTACCAAATTTTATATGTATTTACCGTCTTGTAAGTCAACAGTATAAGTGTAAATAAATTTTTACAAGTGTTATTAGACGTATATACTTTTGTTTTTTTCAGGTTGACTTGATCGTCGTGACTTTCTGAAAACGATTTTGTGGACAGACGAATCTACCTTTACTCGGGATAGTATTTACATTATCCATAATGAACATCACTATGCTACAGAAAACCCACTCGTGATTCACCAGTGTTGAAACCAAACAAGGTTTAAAGTGCATTAAACTTATTAAGGGCTGGATAATTGGAAACCAGTCCTGGAAACCACATGTCTTTATGTAATCTTTGTTATTTGTTTTTCTCTATTATTGTTTCAAGTAACTTTGGCAGATGAATGACCTAAAATTATTGACTTTAATAGGAAATTAGAGGTAGAAAACATGTTTTTTTATGTTTTAGACAAAAGGTATATATTTTTTAACATAGAGTCCAATTCTGTGATCAAAATTGGGAGTTTACATTTAAAACAGTCAACATCCGGTCTGAAAAAGCCACTTCCGGTGTGATTTTGGATTTGAAATTATCACCATTTGGTAGACTGTGCCCAATTTAGCTAGTTCTGTATTATTAGTTTGTAAGAATAGGTTTCCCTCGTTTTTAAAGGAATGTACTGGTGGTTTTGGACACCCATATTGATGAAACACCGAGAAATTTAACTAACGTACTCGATGAAAATATTCTTACAAAGAGTAACTTTTGGAAGTTACCGCAGTTCACATCCAGTCTAGCATAAGTATTTCTTGTGGAACTTTTACTTTAGATTTTAGACACAATTAATTACAAGAAGTTATCATTACAATCTACCATGGACCATTATAACTTATATGTTTCTCTCTTATGTCTTATTGATTTTTTATCCTTAAGGATGAGCTGAATATATTATTGATATTTTTGTCCGGCAATCCTTAAGTGTGTTTTTGGCCTATTTATCTATTTGTGGTTGACAAAATACAAAACCATAAAATGATTAATTTGCAAACTGTTTTCCCTCTAGGGTAAATCCCTCTAGGGGAATCTCTGCTATTAATTCAA